CCTCTCCGGTTCCCTTTCATTGCTTCGGGATTAATATAATGTGAAAGGCAGCTGAGGTGATCTTAAATTTTTTGAATCGAACATTATTTATAAATAATATTTTACTCGTGTTTCAAAATAACGCAGCAATGGAGAAGAGGAGGAAGGATGATACATTTTTGGTCTAATAAGGAAACTTATCGAATCCTTCATATGTTTTCACCTAGCCTCATTGATATATATTATTACTAAAAATGCATTATCTTGCGTCCTACTGCCTGAAACCTGGAAAAACTTAATTCACTATTTCATTCGGGTGAGCTTAGAATAGTGAAAAAAAAAGTATCGCCTAGCTCAAAAGTCATACTGACGGTCAGTCCTAAAGCGCGGGTCCCTTCAATAATTAAAAGCCTTCAAAAATAATAATAATAATAATGTTATCCAACATAAGAACGTAACATCTTTGCGCGGCAACTCTATCACGAAACAGACTCGGAAACTATTTGCTTTCGTTCGGAGCACAGCGAAGAAAAAGAAGCGGAGCAGACGGGGACACGGCCGCACTTTAACGTGCACGAGAACCGGGCGAAGACGATTTCCCTCCGGGGAAACAGTTGCTCTGGGTTTTCAACTTCTCGAGGAATTCCTTGGGCGGGTGTTCCGGATGGGCAGCGGCGCTGTCGACTCGCGAAACAGAAGCTTAGAAGATTTTGAAAACAAATTTGCTCACGTGTGAGGGAGCGGATATTTTCGTTTCGCGAACTGGCCCTTTGAATCCCATGAAGAACCGGCTTTCGCCCTGATCCAGAGAGTCCAGCTGCTCCGTTTCATCCGGGCTCAGCTTGAAGTTGAAGATCTACAGGGTGTCCCAGTAGAAAACCAAAGGATTTGCAGTTTAATTTTAACAGGGAAATGATGTCTTCTATCGGCGAGTATACATCTATGTGTATGCTGCTTGATTGGGATTTGCTGTTTTTCATGAACGAATGTAAATAATAAAATGTGTATTTCTATTTCGGATTGGATTCATTAATACCCATGGCTCCATCATGGGTAAATCCTTTGTGAATAATCTTGAATAAATCCTTAATAAATAATAAATAAATCATTTGGTTTTCTATCGGGCACCCTGTATATACTCGTATGACAGGTGGGTGAGATCGATGATGGGAGATCACTTCCCATCATCACTTCCTGCGAAGACTGACAACCACGTAATCGCAATAAAATTTAGGAAGGCGTGGGACCTGGTAGTTGAGTTGAATCCTGGAAGGGTTGGAGGAGTTGGGGATGACGGCGATGCCAGAATGAGCCAGGTGACGGAGAAACACCTGTGCCTCTGTCACGTGATGCTCGCGGGCTATCTCCTTCACCAATAGGTTATGGAGGAGGTCTGGGTACTTCACCCGGTCGTCCAAATGTCATTCCGCCAGGTGTTAATCTCTCTTGTCGATTCGGGAACCGAGGTGAAGGTGAAGCAAGGCTTACTGGTGATTTGGAATTCCAAGCATCTGGAAGGGCCCTCATCCGGGTGACCCCAACGGCGCATAGGCGACGACAGTAATGTCGTGCTTCTCGCACAGTTCCCGAAGCGGCTTTTGCTGGAAATAGGCATGGAGTTCCACTTGAATGTTGGCCGGTTTGATTCGGGCGTTCTTCACGATCCTCGTCACTTGTTCTTTGTTGAAGTTGCCGATCCCGATGGATTTCGCTCGGCCGGCACCCACCTGTTCCTCCATCCCCTAGAGCAACAAAATTTGCGAACCGCCTTTTGATTGCCTTGATCAATTGGAATACCACTCCACAGACAGGAGAAATTTCTTTTTTACCTTCCACGGAGACACCAGGTCGGTGGTGGGGTCGATCTGCAAGGTGTCGTCAAGGTCCATGGGAAAAATGTTGTCGTCGCCATTATTCTTGAGTCCGACTGGAGTGTGCACCAGGTACAAGCCCACATAGGCCAAGTTCAAGGCTTTCGGGGATTTCTGCAGGAATCCGGTCACCTTTTCCCTTTCTGGTTTTCCTATTAGTGGCAGCTACTCCCCAGAGGGAAACGGACTTCGAGAGAAACTCGTGCTGACTTGGATGTGAGAAACAAGGGCACGAACCATGGTGACGATGAAAAGTTCCTCTCTCTTCACTTTTTCGCCGTCGATCCACCTTTTCAAGACTCGACCGATGGCGGCCTCGTTTCGATAATTGTAGGCTGTGTGGATCTGTCTATAACCCATGTCGAGGGCTGCATCCACGGCAGCATCTTTCGACTGTGGCGAACAAAGATGACGATGTTGATATTAATGATAATGCGATGATAAAAATTTATTTCTGCTTGTTGCTCCTTGCTCTATGTCAGGGATGTCGAAGGCTAATGATTCAATTCCTGACACTGGACCCGTGAAGCAGGGAGGGACTTACCATCCAGGTGCCCAATCCTACGACGGGCATCCGTTGCCTGCTATAGAATTCCACATTGGGCTTGAAGGATGTCGAAGATGAGCTCATGGTGGAGAACGGAGCGGATGTCGCACCCCTGCACTCTGGAGCACACTTTCCCTGCGGAAGGAACGCGTTCTTCTCCCTCCCTGAGAGTTCTGGCAAGTGGCAGAAGTGGAGCTCTCGTTGAGGTATCGACCGGGCGTCGCGAGAATCGTCGCCGGACGTCGAGTGGGAACGAGTCCCATAAGAACATTGAATGAAAATGCTGGGCTCCATTCATCTGTAGGAAGCCATCTTTGTAGGAAGCCATCGTTTTCCAAGGGACCAAAAGATTTTGTGCGATTTCAATTTTTTAAATTATTATTCTAGGCTTTTTTCTTGGGGCATGGAAGAAGCAAGGTGTAAAGTGAGCGCCGTGGTGTTCATTGCGTCAGAACCGTAGGGGCAAGACGGGAATGAAACAGTAGCGTTTTGAAGTACGTCCCTTCACCGAGAGTAATTATTTTTACATTTGGCTGCAATGATTTGGCAACACTGATTTTAATATGCTGGGTGCAGTAGTGAGTTGACTTGCTTGCGGTTTATTAGGATTTCCATTCTGTTTAGTGTTAACCCCTTTTCCCCGTTTTACGGGGTTACAGGATGAATAGAAAATTAGAAACCTCCATCTGATTTCATTATTCTCGGTAAAGCGACTTATGCCGCACCCTGTATATGTGGGCCGGAGTGGGGGGGGGGCAGAACCAACATCGGTTTAAATGTATCCCCCCCCCCCC